AGGAATGCAAATCTGACAGGTTGGGAGCACTGTGGAGCCGGGAGCCCATCCCTCGAGGAGAGTGTTCGGGCACTGAGGAACCTGCAGGGCCCAAACACAGTGACAAACCGAGTCATTTTCTGGTTCTAACACAAAGAGCCAGCCGGATCCTGGGATCCACTGCTAGAACATCTACAGATCAAAACCTTCAGTGGATGGCTAAGGATGGCACTCTGATCAGTGCCGCCACACTGCTAGGCCTGATCAGGTTTTGACTTTACACAGGAGGAAGAGATATGAACAACAGGGAAATAAAAGTGTGGCTTCTTTCCTTCACTTGCAGCCCTTACAGAGAAAGGGACCCTGACTGTCACAGTTCAGCAGCAAGGAAATTGCACATCAAGCAGGCCACTTGGCAGAGGAGGTGTTCAGGGTTTTGAGATGCTTTTCTTTCACTCAATCCACTGACTTCAAAGTCACAAATTTGAGTTTCTGTTTCACAGGGTCTGTCAGCACTGGAGGAGGCTGCCTGATGGGATGTGAAGGGCTCAACACTGACTCCTACCAGTGCACAGAAATCCTGGCTGGCCAAGCATCAAGAGAAGCTGCAGAAGAACCACATCCAACCTTGAATGCCCTGAAACTATGGTTCTGGCTTTGTCCATAGGAATAATGAAGGAAGGTAAGGACCAACGCACCAGTGACAGGCATCCGGCTTCTCACTTCTGCTCCAAGAGAGGATGGGATAACAGTCTGGCTGGGCTGCTCTGGGATTGTTCCAACTTTGAGGGAACACAATAAAAAAAAAAGTTTATTCAGTTTCCACAGGCAATAACGCCACTACGCACCACCTGTTTTACAGAAAGATGTTAGTTATCTCTTCCATCTGCTCAGCCCTAGCTGTGTTGTGAGAAGACCAACAACTCCTGTAAAAGGAGGGGAAAAAACCTCCGTCTGGTATTACTTTAGCCAGTTTCAGTCTTATTTGGCAGTGATATTAATTCAGAGGAACAGAATACGACTGTGCTGCATTTCCCCACCAGCAGAGACTAATAAACATAGGATTGGAGACACCGGGGATATAGAACAGCTAGTTACATCAGAGTCTGTTCCTTTACAGAAAACAGCAAACTGCATCAGTTGCACGCTGGTGTTTTTCTTCTCCCTTTCCACTGGAATTGCTTGTTAGCATATGGATCAGGCTACCAGATATCCAGACAGCTACTTCTCAGCTTGAACAGGGAAGTTCAAGCCCTTCCAAAGCTGGTCAGAATTTTGCCCTGACAACAATTGGCTTATGTTTTTTCTCACCCCAGCCCAAGCCAGTAAAAAGATACTTTGCACTTACAGCAGCCCTCTTCAGAGGGCAGCAAATGTTTGATGCAGATACCAAAACAAAGCTTGTCTCTCCCGGGGCTAATAAGTATTTCCTCTCCATTTTACTGAGGCCAAAACACTTGTCAAATAACCTATTGAGAAGAGCCATGGGAGAACACAATAATCTGAATTCCCTATTACCTGGCAGCTACAGCTGGTCATAACCTCCCTCTTCAGAGGAAAGAGGGATATGCTTTTATCAGGGCAGCAATACGCCAGCTGACATCTTACCTTGCGGTGATGGCATAAATGGCTTGGCACCGCCAAACGAGAGCTTTCTAGAGCTGGGCACAGATCCATGCTCTCCAGGGTAAGGAGGGGAAGCACCAGTTTTCGGAAAACCAAGAGGACTTGTACTGCTAGACCTCCGGACCGTACCAGACCTTATAGGAAACAACAGCAGCACACACGTTACTCCAGATGTCAGTACAGATGGGTAAGCAGAACAGTATCACCAGGCTCACACAGGCACACAGCTACTTCCACAGAAGCGGAGCTTCATGGCTGTTTATCCCGGATCATAATCCCACCGTTCTAGGACTACACCAATACAGATTAAGATGATAATCCTTGTTTTGAAGAGTTGCAATCCAAACAAAGTTTTGCAAGACAAATTAAAAGAGAGAACGAGATTAGCTTAGCTGCAAGCAGGAAAGCCTGCCCGTTTTCAGAAGTCGCTTTTAGATGCTTTCAGGTATCTACATCAATCCTGAACAAGACAGAGCTTCATATCTTGCCACATCCAGGGTGTTTGTTTTAGGTGGTGTCTTCAGAATGCCCTGAGAGGGTTTTATTCAAGCGTTCCTCCCGCGCTGAGCCACTCGCTTATTGTCAGAGCGGCCATTTTGGTGGAAAGCTCCGCGAGCGCAGGTTGTACGATGCGGAGGCAGGCTGTCCCAGAGGCACCGCTCGGCAACAGGGCTTTGACTCAGATCAAAAGCTAGAGAGCAAACCAGAGCAGCGCTGGGCTGGACAGTCAGAATTGCCTGGGCTCCAAGCTCCTTTAACTCATCGTGAAACCTCACCTCAGGGGGTTAAAATTCATTTGTACAGCCCACAAATGTGGGAACCTCGGGTATTACCCAGCTGCTAAAATGAAACAAAAGTGGAAACCAGACTAGTGGGAAAGTGAGTACAGCCACACCATCACTCTGGAGAGAGACAGGATTATTGTATATTGACTAATTATTTCTCAGTATTTCAATGTTTTCACCACTTGATAAGAACACACAACCTGAACGCTATTTATTGAAACGTCATTCTGCCTCTGCAGACTCCTTCACCAAGATTCCCATTACATTCCTCTACAGGAAAAAAGTCTTTTCATCAAATCTTTCGTTCTACTCTCAATTTGGAAACACTTTTTCCCTTGTTCAAACAACATTAGTTTCAGCCGGTAGGTGGTTTTCTGGACAGGAATCAATGAATATGCTGAAAAAACCCCTCTGTGCTCAAGCCACTGAAAGACGCTGTCACCGAGGTATCCTGCCTCCCCTCCCAGTGACGCTGCATGAAGCCGTCCACACGTATCCAAGCAGAAGGAACAAAGCCAGACGGGTGCAAGCAGGGCTGGCTACAGTACCCAGCAATGGCAAAAGTCACCCTGATGACGTGTCAGTACATCTACTCAACAACACTACTAGGTGTATGTTTTACTTCATGCCAAATTTCAGGGGGGGAACCCAAAAACCCCCCAAACCAAACACAAATCTATTTCAGTAGCTGAGATATAAGAGTTTGATTCACCGCTCCCCCATCTTCCCCCTTTTCAATGTGTTACTACATTTCTCAGCCAAATGAATCCAAGCTATATTCACATGCTTGGAAAAAAGGAAATCCTTTAAAATTTTAACCTAAAAATCACTTCTCTTCAGGTTGCTCCAGATTCAGAGGCCTAATGCTCATCAAGTGCCTGGCCCTGAATTAAAATGAATACACAACAAGGAGATGGACACCTGACAAGGAGAAGATACCTAGATGTTCAGTGGCAAAAAGTATTGCTCTCCCATGTTTTTAACTCTCCAGATTATGAGCCATGTGGAAGGCTGAATATTATCTATTGGGAACTTGCAGAAAAAAACCACCAGCTGACTGCCTCTGCTGAAAGATGTGGAATGTCAAATGCCACCCTACGAGACGTGGGATAAGCAAGCAAGCAGACGAGCAGGACAGGTGATGTGGCCAAAAGGACGCACACGTAATTACCACCTCAGCAAGCAGCGTATCAGTCCACAAACAAGCTACGTTACACCGGCATGCACCAGCCAGTCAGATGACAGCGGTCGATTTTTCAGAAACAAGAGTGTACATCCAGGTTCGTAATCAAACGAGTTGGCGAACATGACGAGGCACTCGGCTCTAATGGCCTATTTGGTACATCTGATGGAAAAGTGGAATCACATACTAAACGCCTGATGAAGATTTCTCCTTCCATTCCTGAAGGGTGTCTACTCAATTTGCTGATTAGAGGAAGTGACGGTGAGAGATAGATATGGCTTCCTGCGGCAGAAAAAGCCATGACGCCAGAGACTTTGAGCAGATGCTAAAAGCAGACTGTGAATCATCCTGATTGCGTCCATTCCTCGAGTTCCTCTGCAGCGACGATGCTAATCTCAACATTACACAGTGGTGACTAAAAGGAGCAAAACACGGCAGTTTGATCCCTGACTGGTAGCTGCGGGCTGTGAACCTGAACTCAGCAGCCATCAGCAGGCCTGGCTAGGTACAGTGTGCCTAGGGGCATCCTCTGCACCTTCTCCAGTGCTCTCACTTTACACATCACACGGATAACCAGGTGTGAGTTCCAACACCAACAGGGTCCACAAGTTTTGCCGTAAAAAATACCAGGCATGTAGTAAACAGGAAGGAGCTTACCACAAAACCTGCCACACGCTCAAAGACGTGAGCATAAAATAGTATTAAAGTAACCCTGGCACAAAACAATCTCTCTGCTGATCCCCAATTAGTATCAACATACTGTGTGTACTTCTGGGTCCACTTCAATACGACTTCTCCTGAATTCGGCTGGCTGAAGCCCAAACTTAGGCTGACACGGCTATTACCCTACTTCTGAAATCTAAACTTTAACTAATCCAGATCCTAAAGCAACTCCTCAAAAAAAAGACACGACACCTCACAGACACTTCTGTTTGAATGCCCCTGCATTCCAACTGTACCCCAGTCTACGAACTGGGCTGCTGCCATCAACCCAGATTTCAAACCTGTAAGAACCAGAAATTATACGTGAGGAGAGACAGAAACCCTATGTGTCTTAGAGATACAAGGCATTACCACTGAACTCAGAAGGTCAGCTGTGCGGCTGAAGGCTGGCATCCGGGTCTTCCTCACGGCCTTCAGAAAACGTGCTCTGCCTCACAGGCACAAATTGCTCATGATTTAACCAGTCCTGGCTGCATAACCACATTAATATGCAACTCGTGTAAGACACATCATCTATGGTGTGACGAGCTACAGGAACCAATTAAGGCAGTCAGGTAAGTTTTGTAGCCCCATCCACTTCAGTTGTTTATCTCAACTTTTTCCTTTCATAAAGGCATCTGCCAGACGGATGGTTCTCTCTGCTCGGACATCCAACCCACAGCTGGCATGGGAAAAGCTGTCAGCCTCAAAGGGGCCCTGCCTGTGCTGAAAGTCTCTCATACATGCACACAGACAAAATTTACAGTACACAGTAAACAAATGAATCTCAACACTGTTACAAAAATACCCCCAAACTATGTCACCACATAACACACACCACACTGGCTCCCCACGGCAAGGGGGAGAGCCCATCACACCGTGAAATTTTGAGACGTACAGAGCACAAGCTGTGAAGCAGTTTGTTTTACAACCCCCAAGCTGTCTTACAAGTGGCCCCGCACTGAGGTTACCCCTCGTCCCAGCCCCAGCACTCACCGTGGAGAGGCGTACTGGTGGGGAGACTGCAGGTTCTGCTCAATCCGCCGGTAGTTGTGAATCTGCGTTGGGACCGGAATGGGCACAGAGTGTCCGTACTTGCTGCTAGAGAACTGACCCGGCCGGCTGTTGGAAGGAGACAGACAAAGAAAGGCTCTTGTAAGGGGTGGGCCTTCACATGGGTAATTGGAGGTTTTATCTTCATAGAGCAACCATACACAGGGAGCGTCCCCTTGGCTGCTCTCGGCTTGTGGGTTTATACTGGGAGGTGGTTCAAAATCCTGCCAAGGGGAAGTGGCACCACACATCTCCTGAACACAGGGACCTTTCCTCCAGCACCATTCCCACCCACAGACTGAAGTCAAAACATACACCCGAGCACACCACTCCCTCCAGGAAAACGGGAGGCCTGCTATTTCAGGCCACAGCTGGCCTAGTTTCCCACAGCTTAGATCCACAGCCAAAGAGCACATCATTGAGCAGGGGCTAAACACTCCTGGCTCACAAAGGACACCAGCAGAGACTTCGCTGCCAAGAGCTACTTGCGATTCACGCAGAGGCACTGCTGCAGCAACAGCATCTCCATGAAAGTCTCAGCACGCCACAAAAAGAATACAACCTTGTGGTGTATATCAGGGTATTTGCAAGTTAACTATAGGGTGGAGAAGGCAACTCAGGAAAGAATAAATTTGGGGGCAGGCGCTGTTATCTATACACTCATTCAGATCAGCTAGAATACCACACACACAAAATGGGACAGGCCCGTTCTGCAAACGTCAGACTTCTTTCTAGTTCCACCCAAGCAGGTTAATCAGCTCACGTCTGGTATCTGTTCCCCTGGGTGACAGTTTCCCCTGTTACTCTTTGCCTGCACACCATGCTATATACAAATCACGCTACACAAAACCCATGCAAACATCACATTTAACTAAGTAGGCGCCTAAAGTCTTTTCCCAAAGGCTCCAGAATTCTAGGATTAATTGCCATGGCAATGCTATTTAGAACTGCCAACACCAATTGTTGCACAATTACAGAAAGATCTTCTTGGTAATGAAGGCTTCTGCAGCCTTCCTTGCTGTCAGTCAAGGACACAGGCCTGGGACTGCCCTGAGAAGCGGGAAGCATCACTTCTTTGGGTCTAACACTTGGAGTGGAAGTGTTTTACATAAGATGAAAGGAGATATAATAATTCAGCAAGAACGTACATGCGTGCACAGAGAAAGACAGAAGGGTTTGTGTCTTCTTTGGCAAAGCATCCCATTATCAGAATTTCTTTTTCGGGGAAGGTCAACAGTACTCTGTGGTTTACAGTGACAGTATTGAACAAAGCTGATCTGACGGAATGTGTCTGCAGATCTCCACCCTGTGCACATGAAACACTCCTCCATCATAAGAGAGCCAAATAACTGAAAGAGATCTTTCATCAAGGCCGAAAGAACAAAATGTGATTCCGATTTCTTCATTCCTCTCTCAGCATGTCTACCGATTTTTTAAGTTCTATATATCCCTCCTTATTTCTTCCACCAAGAGAGCAGACTTTTAATCTGATGCCTGTCTCCAAAACACAGCATGGAAGCCTTGATTCTTCATTGACACCCCATAAAATAAAGGCATTCAAGACTTCTGATTGCTCAGCGGAAGGATGAGGCTTTGGTCTCTCTGCCTTCCATCGGTGTAAGACATGGAGTCAGACAGACATAGAGTGAACAGAGCTTTAACCAAGAAACCTGAGGGTTCATATCAAACCTTATACATATCCCGATTTGCAGCATAACTTTCAAACACTGTCTCTTCAATCTGGCAAAATCACTTGGGGGAAAAGAAGTTCTCAGGTGAAATGATCCCCCTCTCTCCAAGAGCTACAAGAAGTCCTTAAAGGAGTCAGGTTTCTCCACAAAGCGCAAGTTGCAAAAGAAAGCATCCAAATGAGGTGACATATACTAAACCTGCTAACTGGCCTCAAGCCTTAAAGACTACGATTGACCATAAATTTGCAAAGATCAAGAGATAAAGCTGGGAGAGGAAGTTTAGTTCCTTGGCAGTAATTAAAAGCTCTTTGAAAATGGTATTAAATCCATTGCTGTGGGATACATCCAAGGAAGCATGTTTTGTTATCAAGCATCTTCAACAAGGAAGTGTTTAAAAAAGAGAAAAAGCTCACCTGTCAGCATATTTTAGTTCTGCCTAGCCCTTACTCTCTTATTCAGTAAAGAACAAGGAAGGCCGCTCTAGAGTGTAGCGTGACTTCCTGAGGAAAACCCACTGCCGGCCACTCTAAAATAGCCTTTGCTTTCTGTCCTAGTTGGACTGCACCCAGTGCTGCTTGCTAGCCTCACACGAAAGGGAGAACTGCTGCTTCTGAGTGAGCAAAGACAGAGAGAAAATCAGGAGTCCTCTGCACCAGTGAAGCCAAATGCTGAACCAAGGGCCTCGTGACATCTACAGTGAAGGGCACTGAAGCCCATGTTCATAATTATTAAGGACATGGCTGGGTGGCACCTGCTTAAAGCCCTTTCAGGGGACAGATCAAAGCTCATGCTTTACACTCTAGATTCAGAGTGACTGCTCCCTTCTTTCATTACTTATGTCTTACTCCCCATCGTGGACAGGGTAGCAAGTAACTTTTCTATCTGCTTTGAAGAAATACTGAAAAGTGGGAAGTAGCGCTACAGGGTTCGGCATCTGCTCCACACAAGCTGCTGGGAATGAGTAGGAGAGACAGTGAGAGCAGAAACATGTTTAGATGATAGCCACTGGCATTGACTTGCCACCTTGCGATCCAGTAAAATACGACGAGGCCAGTTTGGTAAAGACAGTAGTGAATAGTGAAAAGTGGGCAGCGTTTGTAGTCAACTTCCATGAATTACCACTCTCTGCTGTCCAGAAACAAGGCCAAATCCTTTAATACTGATCCCCAGAATGCAAAGGAATCAGTTAAGGAATAAGCTGTTACAAAGCTTAGCAGGCGATGGCATTAAGTAGCCTCACGTAATTAAACTCCACACTGTGGTATGCGCTTGCCAATTAATCTGCTCACGTCAGCAAGGCTTTCAGCTGTATTCTTTTACTTTAAATTTGTATGCTTTGAAGCTATGTTTTGTCATTTTCTGGGCTCTGCTTATGTGACGTGTGTTCAACACATAGCCTGGGACTACACTGCCTTCTTGAGAAAGATTTTAGGGTCATCCGTCTCTCCGTGTGAAATCTCCTTCAGTCCTCCTCCCCCAACACGTCCCCTGTTGACAGAAGAGAAGACGAAAGCTGTCCTGCTTCCCCAGCAGGCAGGAACGAGACGGGAAGCAACACCGCCAGCTCCCTGTACGCTAAGCACAGACCCTAACGCTTCAAGCTCTAAAGTCAATGGGATCGCCGTCCACAGACCATGAGTGGCTTCTGAACACAAACATGTCTGGAGGCACTGGTGCTGCTGGGCGGCTGGTGCTGTTGTGTGTGGGTGGCTGTCACCTACGACATTTCTAAAGGCTAAAGCTGAGTCGACAGCAACTGGTTTAGTTGGAACTGAACCTACGCCTCGTTGCACTTGTTACTCCTGCTCCTGCATCCTCCATTACCAAACAAGCCCCATGTTGCAGCATTGCTTTATACCAGCGTAGTGCAAGGAGATGTTCGGAGCTTCAAGCAAACTACAAACATCTAGGCAGGCCCACATCTGTCCTTCAACAGCAAGGGGAGAAGAGCAACACCCCTCCACATCTGCCCTCCTGCCCTTTGCCCAGTAATTCAAGCCCATAGTAGCTTCAGCCTTGGCTGAAGTGTTGTGCTCTAATTCACTGCATAAATTCAGAAGGAAAGGTCTTTAGCTGGAATACTGACTGCCTCTGCAGGCCAAGCACAGAGGGGATGAGTAGCACATACATGCCGGTGGAGAGCATTTAATTTCTTGCTTGAGAATAATCCCTGGCGCCCCAGGGAAGAGAGTTAATTCCGGCCCCACTGCATTCCCTCCTAGTGCCTCCTGAAGGCCTAAAGAGGGAGAGAGAGGCTCTGTGGTTGGGACTGACCAGTGCCTGAGGCTGAGGAGTTTCTCCTGGGTGTTTCTTATTACCCCTTAACTAAAGGGGAGATGTGGATCTTGCCCAGCACACCAACATCTGTAAAATCCCCTCCTGGAAGTCAATGGGTGTTTAATAGATCAATGTTGCATAGTCATGACTGAACAGTCTTTCTTACCTGGACGGGCTTGGAGAACTGCTATATGGGGGTGAAGGAGACGGTGTCCTTCCCTGGCTTTCCAAGCCTGCTGAAGTCACCAGAGAACTCCTGAAGAACGACAGAAAGGAAAGAACCCAGCTGTCAGAGGGGAACCAACCCCGCTCCCTGTCGCCTACAGGGCACAGTAGCAGAGCTGCGTCTGCCCAGCACGTCATGGGAGCCCTGGGGACTGTCACGTTGCCCCACAGACGCGGCTGTTCAGGTGCCACATGCTGATGGTCAAATGGAACATGATCAGAACCAGGCAGGTGACAGTCATCCTTGAAGCAACAGCTAACTCAGCAGCATCTTTCGTCCCATCCACCAGCACCCAAAAGTCCCTCGTGCACAGTACGCTCCAGTGGCTGAACAACTTCAGCTGCCTTGGTGCTCTTACCCGCTGTACATCAGACTGTCTTGGATCGGTTTCCCTCCTGCAGCCTCAACAGTCAAATCACCTGAGGAACAAGGAAGTACAGAAACATATTAATTCTAGATCATTTTCTTTAAAAATCTTTATATATTTAGAGCAACAGATTTTGGGTAGAATTTCCTACTCTTCCAGGACCCACCGAATTGCTTCTGAGGTCAACATTTTGCCAAATACGAGTGAGCTGAAGCTGATATGGATGCTGCTGATCCTTGTATCTTGAAGGTTTAAAAGATTCAGGCTGAAAGGGAGCCCTTTCGGCAGGGGGCTAAAACCTGGCAGTATCATTTGGGGCAACGGGTATATGCCCACTTGGTGCAAGCAATTAGCTACTTTGCAAAAAGACAGTGGTACACGCTGCACGCCGGGCTTTGAAACATCCACGTCCCAAGTGGCAAGAATCCAGGGCAGCTGGGTACACAACCCAGGGGAGTTTGTGCCTTTGCCAAAACATCTGAACACTGGAAATCTGACTACCACAAGACATGCATGTACTGGCCCCATCACTGTTCCCAGGAAAAATACCCATGCCACCAAGCTCTTTCTTATCTTAAGGACTGCACAAGAGAGACCTTTCACAGATTCCAGTGCTGCCCCTCTGAACTCCTGTTATCATAGAATCATAGGTTGGAAAAGACCTCTAAGATTATCAAGTCCAACCAACCACCCAACAGCACCATGCCCACTAAACCATATCCTGAAGTGCCATATCTACACGTTTTTTAAACACCTCCAGGGATGGGGACTCCACCACCTCCCTAGGCAGCCTGTTCCAATGTCTGACCACTCTTTCAGTAGAGGAATCTTTCCTAATATCCAA